TTTCATGTCGTGCTAGCCCTTGGAAGGCCCTCGTACTCTAATGCCATTGCCGTTTTGCTCTAACAGCACTTCATCACTGTATACTCGTATACAAACTTTTCCAAGTATATGCCATCAAATCCAATCATTAAGGATGAAAGAAACTGTTGCGTACCTCTCTTCAATGAAGGGTAATAGCAGGCCCCAATTTTATAGTTAACCACCATACTATTCTGAGATATTTACACTTCATGGGATTCGCCGCCCAGATCACCTGGATCATTTTCCACCCAGACTCACTCAGGGGCTAATTTCACTCTGCCACAGCTCGAAAATTTTGACTCCATCTTCCATGAAGGAAGACACGGGATATGACACTCCCCTAGCTTAGTTGGTAGCTGACCTAACCTACGCTCTGACTAATTGCTCTAAGCCGAAAAGATAGACCTAACCGTATCGGCCTTGCTTGGAGAGTAGCTTGGGCAGTCTTAGTGAGTAGCTTGGCTTGCTCATGCGGGGCTTTGGAAAGAAAGTAACCATTTCATTAATAGACTAATCTTCTAATCCAGCTCGATAAGTTTTTTTGTTTCAAAGTAGATCGGGAGTTCAGGAGCTACTTACTTAGCTCAGGACTCGAACTCGGACTCATTAGCTCCCTAGCTATATAACTCTGAGTTTCCCTAACTCCGGTCACTCTAGCTCTTAGCTCATTTCTTTTTACCCTAACACTGTGTGGAGGGGAGAGCTAAACATTCCTTTTCTCCGGCTCACTGAAACCAAGCCAATGGAGATTGCCGGTAGTTATAGGAGAGCGAGAACCTTTCTAGGGAAATAGGGATTCTGCCCGCACCTCACCTCGAGAAACTGGACCAAAGTCCCTGTTTTGTTTTTGAGGTGGTAAGTAAGATTTCTTAGAGTTGTTCCATACCTCTTTAGTTCTAGTTGAACGAGCGACTCATGAATGCAGCCGGGAAAGCGGGAACTGAACTGATAACGTTTCGCTGTGAGTCTCCGAACAGCCCGACACATATCGCTTCTCTATATTAGTGTAGTGTACTTCCTAAGGTCTAAGGTTGGGCACTTGGCTGAGCCTCTCTCCCTCACCAATGTGAATGTTTGGGCACCACATACATCTCGACTAGTGTAGTTCGTGCCTGCTGAGCTAAGAAAAACCTCTTGCTACGCACCTGACTTGACTCCGAAGTTAGGATATTTGCTTGCTTTGTACTCGACCCAAGCTACCTCACTTAACCAAAGATATCCGATAAGAAGTTCTACCTGATCTACAGCACTTGCTCCTTCGTGACCAGTGCCATCTTACTCTGCTGGTCCACCTTCTAAAAAGGTCTCCGCACCTGAGACACATCCTTCCCCTCTTGCTTATTCTTTTCATTTTTCCTATCTTGTGGTGGCTTATTCGGTGGAGCTCCTACTGTTCCCGCGCCAGCTTCAACTCTTGCTCCCGATTCGGCTCGTGCAACCAGGTGTGGGGCGGCGATCGCTTCGAGATCAAACTTCCTCTTATCCCATTTAGCTCCAGAAAGATTGTGATGACAGAACCTGAATAGGCTCCATACGGGGGGAATTGTCGTTTTCTTTGGGTTATTCAAGTATTCCACCGCTCTCTATCTATTATCCGTAACTGAACTCACTAGCTTAGTGAATCGATTTCAAGTAGTAAAAGAGTCTGTTTTTGTCGGACAAAAAGAATTGAAGTCGGAGATTTCCAGGAATAGCGTTTATCTACTCTCTTTCTTTAGAAAAAAAAAAGAGAATGTTCCTTGTGTCCTACCTCTCCCTGCTTTCAAGAGCTATCTTTCCCCCTTCTTCTCTATAGAAGATCCATAGCTTGAAGAAGACAGCTGCACCGGGATAGGAAGATTTAGGCTTTGTTCACATTAAAGAAAAGTTCTCTCCTGTTAACAGCGCTATGCACCTCTCACGAATCTTTTTTATTTTGGATTCTCCTTCAGGCCTTTGAAACTCTCTCAAATAGTTTCTGTCTACGATTTCCGGGTGTTCAGAAATTTCAAATAAACCAAGGGTTGAAAGCCAGTAGTAAACCAGTCAGCTAGCTTCAGTGAGAAAGTTCAGAAGTAGCTGCTTAGGTTGCATATCTAAAAGTAGGCATCAGAATCCGCGACAAGGATAGGCTAAGGCGCAGAGAGGTGCATTGATGCCCAGACTAAGCTCTTTTATGGACAAATGTCAGGAATGAGGGCAGAAAAGAAAAGGCGTTAGTCAAGAGAATACCCTGCTGTTAGCAAGTTTCAAGTTTGACATTAGTGCACATGAAAAGGGCTTACGACTCATAGGTTCTGTCCGTGAATCAGATCTGTGCTGTTCGGGAGAGTTGTGCAAGAGGGAGCTGCTGCCCTAGTCGAAAGTTGAAGCGGTTGGCAAGGAGTTCTTTCCCAAAGATCACACGATTTTCCGATCTATGTCATATTAACCGATTCACCGACATTAGCCTCCAAAGACATGATCAAGAGTAAAGAAATAGACATGGTACGAATGGGATTGAGACTCTTGCCTTTGTAGGATGCATGCATTGAATGCCATGTTGGCTCTTTCCTTCAAGCTGGGTGAAAAATAGGCAGAGAAAAGAGCTGTAATCGCATCGCTTGCATGAATTACCTTGTGCAGAAGCTGTGTGATGACATTGATGTGATGAGTTGTACACATCCATATGACCTGGCCTTCGACGAGTGGAGGTTGCTGAGTTGATCGTGCAAGATACATTTCTTTGGTTTCCTATCGACTCTTGCAAACAAATTCACTCCCTGTAGAAGAAAAAGGAGAAAGAGAGTACCGCTTCAACAACGTTGACCATCTGTTTTTCTTCATTGCTTAACATCCATCGCTGTTTCCTAGTTCAAGCCAGTTGTTTTCCAGTTGTGTTGTCTTTTATCGTCAGAAATGAAATGTTGGATTGAATTGGATAAGATAAGGCGCGACTGAAAGGAGCGGAGAGCTACGTATGCTTTTCGAAAGCCAAAGAAAAGAGCCGGTCGTCAGTCAGTCAAGCTAGACCTATAGACTCTTTCATCTTCCAAACTCGAATCAGTAAGAAATTCCTTAGAGAACCTTTCAGGGATAATGCGGCCCGGCCTATTCTATTCAGTCAAGCTTAAAGCTCGCTCTGGTACAGAAGCGATCCTTTCCTGGTCACATATGTCAAATATGCTTTCTAACAGAAGTTCTCCTCTCCTTTCAGTCGAGCTCAAAACCCTCTAATGAACTGTAGATTCGCTCCATACTCTCACTTTTCTGTAAGAAAGTACCTTGCACTGTTCAAATTCTGAGCATTATCCGTGATGATCCTTTCTGGCAGGCCATAAGGGCAAAGAATGTCCTTATTCAAGAACTTCTGCACCACATTCTGAGTGACACTTGAGTAAGATGAGTAAGAGGACCTTTCTCCCCATTTCATAAAAGAATAAATTGCAAGAAGAAGAAAACGATGCCCATTGGAGGCTTTAATCGACTCCTATGACTACTCAATCGATTAGCATAAACGTCGGTCGGGAAGAGGATTTCCCCCGGTAACCTAGCTCGCTTCGACGCATTCGAAAGGAGAAATTTCGAAAATGTTCGATAGAAGTCAGTTCTTACAGCTTTTTTCTTGAAAACATCGTTCTGACATAAAGAGCGGTGGCTATTCAAGGGCTTAGCTGAGAGCGAGGGCCCACATTGTCTCCATCAGCGGCTAGGATCAAGACTTTGGCCCATCTAGCGGTTGCCGCTCAAAAGGTGGTTTTTTTTCTTACCAGTCAATGGGCTGATACCATGCGTGTTTACAATGAAAGTGGCTTTCTGCCGCCCTAGGGCTGCTACACTATGTATGTAGGCCCCCGGTCGGACTGCCTCGGTCACATGTTCGGCTTTGTTAGGTAGGCCAAGCACATCCATCAACGGAGGTCTCATTCAAGCAGCAAATTGTAGCCAGGAAAGGTTTGGTCAAAAATGATCTTCTCACTTCAGTAGTCTTCGGTGCCAAAGATCAATGTTGACTTGAGCAGCAAGTCTGGTTCCCAACAGCTATAAGAACAGGTATAGTTAATGGCCCACCGGCTGTGAGCCAGGAGGTAGTAAATGGCGAAATGCTTCTCGCATTTGCTAAGAAAGCTTACTCCAAGACGGTATTTGACGTTGAGTTTTGAGCTAGAAGCAATGCAATGAAGACTGGAATGAAATGAAGTACGCTTTGGACGCTATTAATTCAGGGCATATATATATGGATTCTCGTGTCGGAAGGCCACAACTTTCATTGTTCACCCTCCTGCCCCGGCTGGTCCCGGGTTCTCACACTTCACTGGCTCCTAAATGCCTTGTGGGTGAGAACATTATGCCCCTTAGACTATACTTAGAGTCAGGCAGTCTATGGTCATACGGAAGCGTGAGTAAGTAGCTACAATGGGACTACTTAATGTTCCACTCCTGCTCAGTTCATTGGTTGGCCTAAAATGAAATGCAAGTCCTCGGGGGTCAGGCACATCAACCTGTCATTCATGCATTCACATAAGAAGAGAAAAAAAGCAATAGAAATAGAAGAAAGAGGGGAAATGGGGGTTTGACCTACAAAAAGGCAGAAGTAGTAGCATCCAAATCAACTGAACCGGGGCAATAACAAGACCTTTGTTTGGGATTGTACTCTAGCAAGCTATCCTTTCGTTCTGTATTGACGTGCTTTTCTATTCTCTTATTCCAAAATTGCATTCTCACCCTGCTCCTTCTTGCTTTACCGTATAGAGTATATACAGGCTCCTTACTACTACCTATTTGTTGGTAACGGCATCCATATCTTTATGCACGAACGAAAGGCTTTCACCCCTTCCCGGAAATGATTATTATTCTTAGCTTTTACTCAACAGGTATTACTTCCAAACAAAGTCTAACCCTAACCAGTTCCTTTTCTTTTGGAAAAATCAAACTCTCGCCTTTTCTTTTCACCGCCCCTGTTTAGTGAAAAGATGGTCTATTCGCTATATAGCGATCATTTCGTATAGGATCTCTTTTCT